ATGGGGTCGGAGACTCCCAGGGCCCGGAACGAGGAGCCAGGAGGCCAGAGGACAGGGCGGACTGAGAAGGCCCCGATCTCCGGGGCGGGAGCCGTGGGAGGGGCGCCAGGGACTGAGAAGGCAGCCGGAGCCCAGATGGGGAGAGGAGAGCGGCGGGTTATGGGTCGGCTTGGGTCCGCGCCCAGCCTGAGGCCTCACCTTGCTCGATCTCGTCCTCGCGCCCAGCCAGCTGCTCAAAGTCGCGGATGACAGCGCGGGCCGCCAGATGGTGGAAGGTCTCACTCCACAGGTCGGCGTCCCGCACGGAGTCCGGCTCCGGGCCGGGAGGCCCCATCTCAAAGCTCACCTCCCACTGCACGCAGTGCCCGTCGCGTAGGCCTTTGACCAGGGCCTTGCCCAGCACCGGGCCTGGGGTGGTGGTCCGCCTGCCAGGACTGGCCCCCTCCTCGGACTCAGCTGCGGGCTCCCAGTCCGAAGATGTCTCGGTCTCCAAGGCTGACGGTTCTGTGGGCCGAGGGCCAAGAGAGTTGAGCCCCGAGTGCGAGGGCGGAGACAGACCCCCTCCCTCCAGTTCATCATCCCTTCCGAGGGCGCAGTGGACCCTAAACAACCCTAGCCCATCCCCCTCCCCAGGGAAACAACTCCTTTCCTGAGGCAGCTTTGTGACTTGTCCCAAGAGATGGACAGATCCACCTCCAGGAAACCAGTGGGGCCATGCTGTGCTTATAGGATGGGCTGGGCAGAGAATGCAGCTATAGCCTCTTAGGCAGTCCACGGGCCGGGTTCAGTGGGGACAATGGGGTTGGCATGGTCCCCAGGGCAGGGTGGCCCAAAGCAGACCCTGAAGGGAGCACCAGGCATTGGCCATCTGGGTCTGTCATCTGAAGATGGGCCACAGTGAAGGATTTCTCACTGTCTCTAATAAGCTGTCACACCTTTGGACACTTACCCAGATCCCCAGAGCTGTGGCTGTCCAGGGCAGATTTCAGGCTGGATCCGGGATCCAGCTCCCTCCTGGAGCTCCAGACCGGGGTCTCCTGGCCGGAGGGGAGGAAGGGCTGGCAGCCTTGAGGCAGCAGGGAGGGCCTTCGGGCCCCTGGGCCGTGCAGTTTGGGGCACTGGCTCAGGTCCTGGCCACTGTTCATCAAGGGCTAGGGGTGCAAGAAAGAGGAATAGCAGGAAGAGAAAGGAGGAGGAGGAGGTGGAGGTGGCAGCGGCAGAGCCTGTGGAGCCTTCTGTCCCCAGCTGTAGGTCTTTCCTGGGCACCACAGTGTCGGCTGGGGAACCGTCCCCCTAGGACCCAGGAACTAATGACCTTGTCTCTTTGACCCATGAGCAACATCAGCAAGAATAATCCCAAGCCATGGATGGACCCTAAACCATAACAGAGACCATGGAAAATCACACAAACCATGGAAAATTCTAAATCTACTTTTTTGGCATAAGATTTAAAACTTTTTGTGTGTGGTTAAAATTATCAACCTTTTCCTTATGTCTTTCCATATGTTTGTTTAAAAGGTCTTTCCCACTCAAATATATTCTAGAATTTTTGTGATTTTATTTTTGTTTGTGTAGTTAAGTGTTTGATTCACATGAAATTTATTTTACTGCAAAGAGATAGGAACCAGCTTTTCCTTGATTTTCCAAGTGATACAAATCACATTGTTAAAGAATACAATTTATCCACTGAATTAGAATGGCTTACTAGTCCTCCACTTCTAGTCCAATGAAGCTTTTACGCACACTTGGCTTTACTTATGGACTTTCTGTGCTATTTTGTTGATTTAATCTGTCTATTCTTGTGCTGGTATAAAAAGCAAGGGCTAAACTGGGAGATATATTTGCAACATACATGTCAAAGATTTTTTTTGTAGGAAAATGCTCTTATAAGCATGGAGGAAAAGGATAAACTTCAGAGAATAAAGAGTTAAGGGCATTCGGAAGCAGTTTATAGCAAAAATATTAAATAAACTTAAAAATGGGCAGATTCATGAAAAATCAGAGCAAGGAAAATTTAAAACAAGTTACATTTTTTTCTATCATCAGACAACTGATGACACCCAATGTGAACAGGATCACTCATGGACTTTAGGTTTAAATGCAAATGGGCATACACTCGTGAGAGAAAGATTTAGCAATGTGTTATCTACAACCATAAAAACACACACATCTTTTGACCCAGTGATTCCATCGGTAGGAATACAATCCTGTAGAAATCCACGAGGGTGCATGCATATATGTGTAAGCACTGTCTATTTATTGCAGTATTGCTTTGGAAGGTAAAACTCTGAAAGCTATTTCCATATCCATCAGTAGGGGGAGGGTGAATAAATTATGGTACGTCCATGTCGTAGAATACCACACAATGCTGAACCAAGAGAGGTTTCTTCATATCATTATGGGAAAATATCTAATATACAGTTTATTTTTCAAAATTAAATCTTTTTAGTTCTGTACTTAATCGTGGAGGTTATAAGACTACTTAGGCATCTCACGGAATTCTTCACCCCAGAGAGTAATGTTGCTATATATAAAAAGTGAATTAAAAGACATTAAAAGTAAGCTTCAGAGCAGATTATGTAATTATTAAAATATATGTGTGTGTAACACAGTGCATATGTCTATGTGCAATATTTCTAGAAAGAAACACTCAAAATCAAATGGGTCTTGGCATAGGGGAGGGGGACTTCTACCTGTACCTAATGCCCAACTTGGCTGTTGGAGGGTTTTCATTGCAAACGTTGAGTATTTATTACTTTTGTAAATGAAGAATACTAAGTAAATTGAAATTAATTTCAAGCTTCTAAGCTCACATACGTCCCTTGGTGGGGGCAGGGAGGAGAAGCAAAGGCACTTACTAGGTGTAACAGAAGTTTTTAGGCCGACAGTTAACTATGGGGGCTTTTGCATTCCTACCAAGGAGTTACTGGGAGGGAGTCCTTTCCATTAAATGGGGCTGCCTTCTTGTCTCTGGGCCTGAGGTGCTAGGGATGGACAAATGTGTGTTTGATAAGAAGGAGACTGGGCACTCAGAATGGCCTCTGCAGGAGCTGCTTCCTGCTCATGGGAACCTAGCTGGATTCCTTAATCTCCACTCCCTTCTACCTCAGAGGCTGGGATTCCCCTCACCCCTGCCCTCAACTCACCATCTCCTACACTGGGTCCAAGAGATGAAAGGCTGCAAGCTGCTACAGTTTCTATGACAACAGATAAATCTGAGATCCAGCCCTTCACCCAGCTAAGGGCTGCAGGAAGTTGTGTTGGTGTGTGTGTGTGTGTGTGTGTGTGTGTGTGTGTGTGTGTACATCTAAGTGTGTTGGGGAGAATCAAATTGGGAAAGAGGCTAGGTACACAGGCAGGGGTCGGGGAAGAGATGAGCAGAGACGGGCCAGAATAGCTAAGGAACAAGTAGGGTGAAGGAAAGGAAGCCACCCTGCCCATCTTCTTGCCAAGTAGAAATGCCACTGAAGGGCACCTACTATGTGTCAGGCACTGGGCCATTGCCTGGAAGAGTCCTCCACTTAGAATTGGCTCCCACTCAACATCTGTGGATGGTCAGCGGCCCCAGCCGTTCACATGAGCTGTTCTCCCCATCTCACAGGTGGGACATCTGGGGCCAAGAGGGGTTCAGGACCATGCATGAGAAGAGTGCCCGACTCCAAGGCCGATGCCTTCTGATTTCGTCTAGCGGGCCCTGGCTGAGCACAGACAAGAGCCTCCAGGACAAGGCGTCAGCATGTAGCCTGTGTATGTAGAGGCAGGAAGGATGGGGTGGTGGCTGGGAGTGGGCAGGGCCAGCAGGGAGAGAGAAGGGCTGCATTTATGGACTCAGGAAAACCCTACTTAAACCCCATGCTGCAGAAAATGGGTTGGCCACAAGCTGTTTCTCACAGTGATTCTCAACTGGATGCTTTCGCTTCCCTGCCCAGGACATGTGGCAGTGGCTGAGGCATTTTTGGTTGTCATGACTGGGTCTATTATTATTATCGACCTCCGATAGGCAGTCTCCCTTGCTCCAGCAAAGAATTATTCCCGCAGTGGTGCTGAGGCTGAGCAGCCCCGGTCTAGGGACCCTGGTGATCCTTCCTGCTATGGTTCCGACTCTCCAATTCTCTTTGCTGAGACATACAGGAGAAGCAGGGTGACAGAGGTGGAAGCAAGGCAGATGGTCCTGGGTGGTAGTTCCCTGCCTGGCTGTGCGGCCCTGGGTCAGTTGCTTCACCTCTGTAGCCCTCAGTGTCTACATGGGTATTGAGTGACTGAGTGGGGGTGGCTGGCCCCAAACTCTCTTCTCTCCCAGGGGTGCTGTAAAATTGAATGACACAGTAGATATGGAGGCTGAGTGCCGAAGGGGAAGTGCTGTGGGCAGGGAATCAGGGCTCTCATTAACCAGTATCTGGATTAGGAAGGCATCAATGAGATTGGGCAGATGAGGGTCAGAGAAGGGAGGAGGGAGGGACTGGCTCACTTTCCTAGACTAGTGGCTACCTGTTCTTGGTAGGTAATTCATAAATACACTTTGGAGGGAAACTGACACCCTAAAGGGTGGGGCAGGAAGGTGTGGACTCCGTGTTCTACCTAGCACTCATCTATGTAAGTGATGGGCAGACTCAACCTTAGGGTTAAGGCACAGGACACAACTCTCCCCTGGCCATGACCTCCCCTGGCTCCTCTCCAGCCTGCCCTCCTTGGATACCTGTAAATCAATCCGCCACTGCTGGCCATCCAGGCTGATCTGGTTGGTGAGGTCTTGCAACTTGGCTTTTCGCAGTGGGTATCTCCCAGAAGATACTGTGGGTTCACTGGCGGTGGTGGCCCTTGGGCATGGCTTGTGGTGGGTGATCTGGTTAGTGCTGTATGCCCTCCGTCGCTGGGAAAGGTCCGGACCTGGGCAGGGGAGGTGAGCAGGAAGCCACCAGGGAAGGAGAAGGGCTTGCACACCTCCTTCCTGCTTGGGCACAGCCTAAGTTTCTCACTGAGTGCCAGCTGGAATGTGTCAGCGTCGGAACCTCACCTTATCTGACCTCCATCTTCTTCCCAGCAGCTTTCCCTTGTGTCCCCTTCTAAAGGCACAGCGTATGCCAAACAAGCTAGACAAGTGGACACTCGGGTGTGCTTTCTAAGTGTCACACTTCCACACTTTTACCCAGACCCTTTCTGAGGCCCAGAAGCTCCCCTCCACCAGTCCCTAGGTGAAGTGTTGGTTCAGTTTTTCTCTTCCTAAGAGTCTCCTAGTTGTGGCCTCTGCCACTTGGCTCCTATCAGAGTTAAGGTCAGTTGTGTCTAACCAGACGGAGAGCACCTGAAGGGCAGATGCTAGGTGTGAGTCATCTTTGTGTCACACACTGCACTCAGTACCTAGCCGGGTAAATGGCCTTGGAATGGAAATACACACCATGAATAGGCACCGGAGCAAAACAAGGCCTCGACTGTCTTTCTGTACTCATCTACCTCTTTCAAGCTCCAATAATTTAACAGTGTTGCTTAAATACTCCAAATCTCAGTTTCCTCCTCTGCAAAATAGACATACTGGTGCTCCCTCCTGGAGCTGCTAACCATTCATGGCCATGGTTAAGTTCTGGGCACATGGTAACAACTCAGAATAAGGTAGCAATCAGTACGGCCCCTCTGCAGAAGGGAGCAGGGCAGAAAGCATAGAGGACCTACCGTGATGGGTCCTGGAGTCTCCACCGAATGGCCAGGCGTCCTTGGCCTGCCCCAGGCTGAAGGGCGCCCCCGTGCTCTTGGCCCCGTTTCCACTGTCTGGGTCAACTCCCTCATCCTGGGAGTGGTAGAAGACGGAGCTGCCAGACTCCTGAGAGTGCTGCGTGCTGTACCTTCGTCTGTTGTCCTGGAGGGAGAAGAGAAGAGGGCTGGGCGTGAGGACTGACGTTAGGGAGGACTTCATGGGGCAGTGAGGGGCTTGAAGAACAAGAAGAACGGGAGAGTGTTTGCTTCGGGAGCTAGGTAGACTTGTGTTCAAGAGATGGTAAAAAATTATCTTTTCATATCGTCTATAAAGTTTGTATTTTAAATGACTGCTTTCCTTCATTAACATTTTAAAAAAGTACAATTCTAAATGTCATTCCTGTCTCCAGATAGGTTACTAAAATGAACCAAATGGACCACTCAGGACATAAACACAAGTAGAAATAGATGTGTAAAAATATTTATTATACATAAATTATCTGCATGCATAATTTTGGAGATCATTTTTGTTTCAAAGAACTACTTACATCTATCAGTATCTTAAACTTTGACTTAAAACCATTTTGGAAATCCTGCATCCTCTTTAACATTCAAGGCTGCACTATCCCACTATCCCTTATTGTTAATTGTCTGCTTTGTGGCCATTCATTTTTGAGACCATAAAATCTTTGGCTGTAAGTACATTATGTAAACAAAATATATTTTATTTTTCTGGTTAGATTCCTAGGAGTGTCATTATTATTATTATTAATAGTAGTAGTAGTAGTAGTACCAAGGATTGAACTCAGGACCTTGCACTTGCCAGCTAGGCAGCGGCACCACCAAGCCAAATTCTCAGAGCAGGAGTGGCATTATTGGGTTGAAAGGTTTTCATATTTTTAATTTCATTATTTCTTGGTTGCTTCCCGGGTGGTTTGTGGTAAGTCATGTTGATACGAACAGAATAGGAAAGTGCTGTTTGTCCAACGTCTTCACAAGTGGCAGAAGAACATTATTCCAATCTCAGGAGTAAGAGAAGGAGAATGGATTCTGTGCCTGTGTCTTGCTCATTCTAGTGGGAGGGTTTGTTGAGGACCTGACCTCAATGACAGAACCCCGATCACAGCTCTTAAGAAATTCTATAACATGAAAAAAAGTCAACAGATTTATAGAAAATTCAAATTTCTCTTGGAAGGTGCACTTAACACACGACACACATTCCTGCATGGCACCGGTTTGCTAGAGCTGAGTAGGGGCCGCCTGACCTAGGGTGTGCTGTCCAGTTTGCCTTATTCCTACTTCTCCTTACGGCCTCTCCGGCTATGAGCTCAGGGATGATTGATATCCACCATGGCATTTGCTCTTTTTATTTTTCCAATAAGTCCTCTTCATAGCTGCCCAATCACTCTAGGCAGTGAGTTTGTGACTCCTTGAAACAAAATAAGATGAGAAATTCTATAAGAGAGAATGGAGAAGCTCACTAAAAAGTGGGTAAGAACAAAGCTCCCCAGGCAATTGTTCACATTTAACATGCATTTTACCTTCCTTTGAGAAATTCTTACTTTTATCCCACTCGTGACCCCAAATACACAGGATTTATTCATCAAGTAAAAAAATTCTAAAGAGATACAGGGTGACAAGAGTATTCTGAGAAGGAAACCTGAGTGCAGTTGTCCTTGAGCTGGAGTGTGTGTCGTGTCACTTAGGGGAGATTATATAAAAGGCAGATTCCTGAGATTATCTTCAGGGATTCTTACTCATTAGACCTGGGTTGGAGCTATGGGCTCTGCATTTGAGACAAGTTCCCCAAGTGATTCTTCTGCAAGAGCTCTTCAGAATCACACTTTGAGATGGCGACATTCACGTAAGAGTGTCGCTACCAAATGCTCATTGCTGGCCAACTGATATCCACTATGGCATTTGCTCTTTCCATTTTTCCGCCAAGCCCTCTACAACTATATCTACAATTATAAATGCAATTCCGATCAGGTCCTAGCTGCCACAAATAGAATTCCAGTGAAGCGTGGTTTGTGGACATGGGTTCTGGACTCCACTGGCCCCTGGAATTTCGAGAATACTTACAGATCTGGGATTTGAGATGTACAAGGAGGCATCGCACACAACGCCATACCCCACCAGTCGTTCGCCAGGGAAGAGTGTGCTGGTGTTGACAGGTGAGATCAGGACCTCAGTGGTCTCGGGGAAGACCCACTCCACAGTCACATCACTCAGGACTGGGGCCATGGCCTTCTTCAAGGATTTGACCATCTGGCGGGCAGGGTCAGAACATAAGTTGGGGGATGTGTAAGCAGGGATACAGAGGAGGGGTATAAATACTGTGGGTACGAGCAGGGAGGGAGAGTAACACATCTTGGGTTCATTCCTCAGCCATGGTGTCTTGAACTCCTGCAATGCCAGAGTTGGAATGGATCTCTGCTGTCATCTCCTCCAAGCTGAACATTTTATAAAGGAGAAGATTTGAGGCCCAAAGAATGGCCTTTTAGTTCAAGGACATAGAGAAAGTTTGGGTCATATCATAGGACAGTGACCTTAGCAATCCAATTTGCTTCTCTGGCCCTTACTTCCCCTTCTGTTAAAGTGAGAAGGTGTTGTAAGGGCTGAATCTCCTGACTAAAGAGGGCTCCCTCTTTGCCCTTTTGCTTAAAATAAGAAAGCAATAGAAACTGCATTTTGTATAGCTCCTACCTGTTTTTCTGTTCCTCCTGTTCTGACCCAAGAGTGAACGTATCCCCTCCCGGATAGTTGCTTAAGTTTGCAAAATAAGATAAGCTGGAAATAGATGGAGCAAGGAAGCCACATGCTTTGCCAAGCATGGAGAGTCTGCCTAACTGTTTAACCACACAGGACGTTCTTTGGAAAAAGAACACACTGACCCCCGCTGAACCTGTCCCTCTCTTTATTTTCTGCTTTTGCCCTCCTGTTCTTGTAAGAACCCCAGCAATATCAGTAGCAATAGAGAGTAAGATAAAGCACCAATAGGAAAGAAATAGATTTTAAGCCTCCCAAGCCCTATATAATCATGCTTTGAAAGTGAGTCAGGGCTCTCGTTTCTGATCCGCTTGGTCGGTGAGGTACAAGGGTCCAGGCTCGAGCTTGCCATAAACTCCTCGTGTGGTTGCATCGGACTTGACTCCTTGGTGGTCTTTGGGGATATTGCGATCTGGGCACAACAGGTGTATTGGAGGATTGTATGAGATGTTGGGCATGAAGTGCCTGCCACAGGACAGGTGTTCAACAAATGGCGGCTGTGGGTTGGCACCCCTTCTATTTCTTTGGACATATGGCAGACTTAGAGAAAAGGATTGGGGATCATGGTGACAATGAATATTCTCTCAATTCTCCCTTCAAGAAGGACCATGCCTTTTGGCTGTGGGGATGCAGTGCCCTAGCTTTTCAGCCAACATCATGCCTCCCCCCGGGAGCCCTCTGCCAGGGATCGAGCACGACAGTGATTGTAGCGCACAGTCATACAACCCAATGTGGACACTCAAGTGGGCAAGCTCTGCTCCAGGGTTCCCCATTGGGTTTGTCAAGGCTGTGGCAGAGAATTTCAGTCAGAAGCTCCCTGCCCAATCTGCTTCCTCCTTTCCTTTCACAAGTGTCAGATCTGCCTTTCGGTGGGAAGATTTCCCATTATTGTTTCCTCCTCTTCTGTTTTTCACAGATGCTGCTTCCCAATAACCTCTCTGCTCTATTCCGAGTTCTGCGAGGGCCTGGATTTTCTAAGGGTTGGGTGCCGAATGTGCCAAATGTGCTGGAAGAGAGAGAAGACTGGTGTGTGGGCCTTTTAGATTCTTCTGAGCCACTATTTGTCATCACACGGAGGGTGGCCCGTAATGACCTCGAACACAGACCTATAGCTATGAAGGTGGGTGGAACCTATGACGCAGGGGCTGCAGAGCAGGAGATCAGTGTCTTGGGGCTGCTCTAAGGGTTGCTTGCTGTGTGGCCGCCACCTCTCTGATTCCCACTGGGGTTCAGAGTAGCCGAGGGGAGAGCTCAGATTTTGGTTGAAATAGCACTTCTGCCACTGAGCTGCTCTCTGACTTGACTGGGGCTCAGCGGCTCCAGCCCTGGAAGAGACTGGGAGGTCCTTCTGCCTACCTTGGGTTGCAGCCGCTCCCCTTCCATGAGGAACTCAGCGCTGCCCTTGGACACAGATGCCAGCCCTTTGACCAGTCGGTGGCAGACACTGGGTCCAATTCCAAAGCTGTAGCACCTGAGGGACAGGGACACAGACGGTGCTACTCGACAGCCCCTCTGCATCTTTGCCCACTCGAGAGGGTAAAGAGACAAAGCCTGCAGTACCAGAGCTGGCTTAGAACTGGACCTGCTTTAGGCAGGACAGGGAGACGGAAGGAGCGCCCCCTGTGGGCACACATACGCATACATTCCCAGAAAGCACAGAGTCAGGGCAGCCTCTTCCTACGCCGCCGCTCTTTGGGATTTCCTGGCAGCAGTATGGGCGACTCCCCCATCCTGAACTTTTGCGGGCAAGAGGCAAACTTGGAAATCAGTCCACACCATCCTGGAAGGCACAACACCCTGGGAACATTGGGCCCTGTCCTTCCCCTGTATCATTTGGCACACTTTGCTCTGGTTCTGGTCCCCCCCAGCCCCAGGGCAGCTCGGAATAACAGGGCCCCAGACTCCCTCCAGCCTGGCCTGACCTGGTGGAGAAGGCGTGGTTCCGTAGCAGCTCCAGAACCTTCCCGGTGTTGCTGATGGCACCATCTGTGATCAGGAAGAGGAGCCGTGGGTGGCCCTGGTGCACTGGCTGCCGGACGATCCACTTGAGAGGGGAAAAGATGTTGGTGCCACCCATGTCAGCCCGAATTCTCTGGATGTTGTCACAGGCCACGGCCAAACTCTCCTGTAGGGAAGGGTTGTGAGAGAGGTAGACAGTGCCTAGGGTCGCCCTGTGGCACGAGGATTGCACACCACCCTGAGGATGAGCTCTTTGTTTCCCTGGCTCTCAGTTCAGCCTCATTCCTGTTCCATCTGCGGGAAGAATTAGGTGGCTGGTTTTTTGGGGTAACTCACTCCCCACTGATGCCTGAAATGCTACCATTTGTGGTGTAGGGACTCAACATTGTCCTTTCTCTCTAAAATAGGAGCACCTCTGGAAAAGGCGGCAAATTAAGCCTTTAATTCCTCAGCACAAATGACATTCTCTCTCTCTCTCTCTCTCTCTCTTTTTTTTTTTTTGTTAACACTGGGGATCAAACTCAGGCCCTTGCACTTATGAGGTGGGCACCAGAACCACTGAGCTAAATCCCCAGCCCTGACGTTCCCTTTTCTGAGGAGGGAGCCAGGTGATGTGGAGAAAGAACACTGGCTGGGAAACATAATACTTGTGTCCTGAACCTGACTCTGGCACTGATTTCCTAGGACACTGTGCAGAAATTGCTTCCCCAATTTGGGCTTCAGATTTTCTCTGTCCTGGACTATCACTTGGGGACCTAATTGGCCAAGGATTATTGGCACTGGGTGGATGTCATTGTAACAAGAGTTGTTTCCTCCTTCGATTCCCAATACCAAAAAAAAAAAAAAAAAAAAAAAAGAGTTATTTCCTCCTGATGTGTATCTTCCTGCCCTTGGCTAAGGAAGATGGTCTTCTGACATCTGACATCTAGGCTTGGAAGGGACTGATAAGTAATGGCCTAGATCAAAAGTCTGTCGATTATATGTAGCTTTTGAACCAGCAAGACAGACTAAAATGTATACCAAGGGAAAAATTAAGGATGCATGAAAAAAAAATCTACAAAACAAAGATAACTAAATGGGGAAAAGTGGAAACAAGTTAAGTGCCTAACTCTAGGGCTTCGTAAAATAAGTCCCAGTCTATCTGTATGGTAGAATACGAGGCAGCTTTTGCAATTATATTATAAATTAATACTTTCTGGAATGAAACTGTGCTCATGATAGCTTGGAAAGTAGCTTATGGAAGGAACAGTATGTAATGCCTAATCCTACCTTGATTGAAAATGTGTGTAAATGCACAGAACAAGATCTGGAAGGATTTATACTAAGCTCTTCTCAGTACTTTTTCTTCTTTATCTCTCCCCGACTGATGTAATCATAGGAGATTTAAAATTGTTTCTTTTTTATCTAGATTAAAAATTATGAGACAGATCAACACGTATTATTTATTTATGTATTGGAACAAACTCACAAAATTACTTTTAGTAGAGGAGTAGCTAACAAGTCCCTCCCTCCACCCTCTCCTCCCCGCCTCCCTTCCTCCTTTCCACCTCCATCCTTTCCCCGCAAGCCTAGGTAGGGTGCTCCGGTTTCGAGCGTGCTCGCAGGGCCACAGCCCCCTTGTTCCAGCGGGAGCTTGAGCCTCGTGGGTTCGACCCGTAGATGCTTCCACAGCCCTTCGGCCACCCGTCCCCAGCCCTGCTCCCTCCGCGTCCTTAGCGCCACCTTGCAGGAGTCCCTCATCCCCGCGAGACTGAAGCTTCGAGGGGACGGACCACAGACTTGTCTCCTCCCTGCCCTCTCCTCATGCCTCGTCTCCGCGCACTCCCATCCCCAGCCCAGTGTATTACTGTACGAAACGGGGAAGATGTCAGAAGGCCGGAATGTCAGGAATTGCGTAAGCAGAGATGGCTTCTCTTTGGTTTTCTGCCCTCGGACGTGACCTGGGCTCTCTATGGGTCAGGAGCTCCTGAGGCCAGTCCCAGAGTTACTGCTTCCCTGATTTTCCCTCCTCCCCCCTGCTCCTTACCACCAGTCACCTCTCTGGTCCCAGATTTGACCCGTTCTTACCTCACTGTAGGTCTGGCTGGAAGGGAAGAGGGTTTTAAATGTGGATCCAAATCCAATGACGTTGAAGAGGCAAGTTGGCATGAGGCTCTTAAGGGCCACCAGCATGGCGTCCTGGTGGAAGGGAAAGGGGTTTTAGGTTCCGGCGGAGGCCCCAGCCACCACACACCAGTACTGTCACCCCCACTTACGAGCCACCTTTAAGGGGGTCCATCAGCTGCTGTCTGCACCCAGCACCTCCTTTTCTTTCACATCACGAAACTGGATTCTGACCAGAGGCTGGATCAGAGTCATTATCACAAAGCCTCTCAGCCATGTAGCAGGTTTGATTTCTCAATGCCACTCCGCAGTGGCTGGCCAGTTCTATTTCACCCCTTGCTGACCCCGTGAGGCAAGAAGAGGAGGGAACACCCGCTCTCTTCTTTCAAAGCCAAAATGATATCTAGGTGAGGAAAGTGGCTGGTCCAGGTCACACTGTTGACGGAGTGGCTTCTGGTTCCCATGCAGGGCCTTGGGATCAGAATTGAGCTATCACTAACCAGTGATGGAATCCTTGGAACAGTCTCTTTAGCTCATATTTGTTGAATGCAAGGGCTGTATTTTCTATGCCACCACATGTGAGGCAGGCAGGGCCAGGGATTTAACTCAGTGGTTCTGCCACCTGCCTTGCAAGCACAAGGGCCAGAGTTCGATCCCCAGTACAAAAAAACAAAACAAAACAGACAAACAACAACAACAACAACAAAACATGCAAGGTGCATTTATTATCCCCATTATATAGAAGACAAGACTGAGGCACAGAGAGCTAAAGTGACTTGTTAGTGAGCATCCAGGTAGTAAATAATGGATCCAGGATTGAAACGTGTGTCACGTTGCCTTTGATATCTACGAACGCTCCCGAGTCTTAACCTACGTAACTAGACACCAGCAGAGGACCTCAACGAAGGTATGTTGAAAAAAGAATGACAAAGAAGGTGATGGGCTGATAGCAGAAGCAAAACTGAGGCTGACAGTGATTCAATACAATGATAGATATCAAGCCCTTAACCTGTGCCAATCACTGTACCGAGCACTGAAGTGATTACATTTGATCTCGGATTGTGTTTTAGCAGAGCGGTTAACCTGATACAGTTTAAAGTCCAACCTATCTGAGTGGGAGTACTACCTTTACCATTACTGACTTGACCTTGGGCTAAGTATGTCAGCCCTTTGAGTCCCAGCCTAAAACAAAATACACATCCAGTAAGGAGATAGGTACTAGTGTTAACAACTCTATTTTACAGATGAAGAAACCGAGGCTCAGGAAGGTTGAAGAATTGCATCAGATCATCAAACCTAAGAAGATGACCTTGGCTTTCAAATATGACTCTGAAGTCTTTATTCACTCCAGCTCTGCCTTTGCACAGAGCTTGGAACTAGACATCTCCCCTTCACCTCCACATAGTTTACTGATGGCACCCCAGGGATCTCAGCATGTCTTCAGGGAAACAAACTGTCATCCTCCGAAATCTAGACGCGAACAGCTGCCAATGGATTCTGGCAGCTTTCACACCATACAACCTTCCCGCTCCCTGGCCCTGCATCCCCTCTTCTCATCCCCCTCTGCAAACACTAACGTTAAACATTCCCATGCACGTCCTCTCTGTCTGTCTTCATTGCTTGTGTCAATATATTTTGTGTCTCTGCAAAAGAAGTCAATATCTGCTTTTTTCATTAGCCGTAAATGTATATTCCTGCTAGCAGGAGACTCTGCCGATCCATTCAGATGGTCTCTGCTCACACCTATTAGAATTTTTAAAGCCATGTTTTTGGCAGCAAATGGCAGCTGAAGAATGAGACCAGCTGCAGGAAATTAAATTGGCCGAACTTTCCTCTTTGGCATGGGCTGTTTGGATTTATATTCTCTCCCTCCTCCCTAAGCCTAGTTTCTTCTAAAACCTCAATACAATGGACTGCAATGAATGGCCCAAGCAACCCCCCAGTTCCAGTATTGTCTGCCAAGAAAGAGGTGTGTGGTCTGAGCACTGTCTATGCCTTTCTCTGAAGGGTCACATTTAGCCGACGGGTTGTAGCCACGCAAAGCCATTTGTGGAGGATGACCTTGAGCTCAGTGAGCTGAACTGGAGAAAAAGCAAAGGTGACTCCAAGGGGAAAGGGGGCTGAAAGGTGAGCTAGAGAAAGTCCTTGTTCGAGAATTCTAGGGTGCAAAGATGGGAAAGAGCTTTAGTTCAAGGAATGGATTTCCACTCCTAAACCAGTTCTATTCAGCTGACAGTAATCGCCTGGAACACTGGAATGAGGAGGCTACAGGGAAACTGAGTCCAAGCTTAGCAGGAAAAAAAAAGTCATGATAAATTGTTGATATCGGCCTGGGCTAGGGAGAGGGGAGTGGAGAGACAGGCTCTCCCTGAATTAATCTTTCCTTTTCATTTTGCCAAAAGGACAGATGAAAGCCAGAATTGGGAATCAATTTGTCCAAAGCCACATAGCAGTTCAGTGGCAGAATCGATCCTAGACCCCAGGCACTGCTTTTGCTACTGTGCCATGCAGTAGAAATGACATCATCAGAGAAGAGAGCTTTTATAAATGGAAGCAAATGCACAACTTCCCCCTTAAGCAAGGAAGGAAAATGAGCACTGAGGCCAAGATCTAGAAAGCAGGGGCTCCCTCACTAGCACTGTGTTCAGTTTCCTTAGCTAGTAAATGAAGAGAACATGGATGAAATGCCCCCAAAGGACTGTTTTAGGTTTGTAATCCTACGATGTCCTAATGTAACTAAGGAAATGCCTCACAAATCAGTGTAGCTATGGAACGGCCCGGAGCTCGATTCAGCACTCTGTCACCACGGACAGCTCCCCACCATCCTTATTCTTGACTTTGGTGGCGGGCAGGGTACGGGGAAGGTACAACCAGCCCTTCCTACACTCGGGCATCAAGATGCCTCAAGTTGGACCTTGGTTCTCTTCTATGATTTCTCGTCATGCTTCAATTATGGCAAAGTTAAGGAGGTAGCTGGGCTCACAGATGTTACCTAACCCCTCCTCTCCTTGCTGAGCCTGTTGCCCTGGAAATGAGAGCTGGCTCCAAGGACAAACGAGGGGAGATGGACAAATTTTCAGGTGACAGAAGAATCCCACTATCTTCTTGTTGCTTCATCTCTTGTTCTCTTGAACTACCCTGTACCCACTAAACAGACTGAAGGCTTCCTATACATAAACACAGAGCTAGACCCCATGGGGAGAGAGAGATGAGAAATATATGGTTCATTCTGTTAATTATTTCATAACTCCGGATGGGAAGATAGACACATTCAGAAGCCAAGATACAAGGGAGTATTGGATAATGCCATAATCAAAATGAAGACTCTCCCGTGGGAGAGGGAACACTTCTGAATGGCGGGGAGGTTCTGTCGCCCTTTCTTTTACACTTCTGCTGAGCTCTCCTTAGCAGGGAGATTAAATTGCAGGCATTCTGCCTGTGTCCCTCACTTGACTATAAGGTGCTTGAAGGCAGCATCCTAGGTATCTGAGAAAAAGAAGAGCTAGTCCTTTCCCCTGCATTCTACCCATTCCTTGATGGCAGCGGCATGTGAAATGAATCCGTGATGCCAACTGGGGGAGAGTCAGATAGACAACGGGTTTAATCACAGACCACTAACTGGGTGACTTTGGGTAGATGATGGTGACTCGCACAATCAGTTTTGCCTTGCGGTAAATGGTGACACCAGGACCAGCCTGGGATTATTGTCTGGATTCAGTGCCAAGCTGCGCATTAAATGGACTGCACAGTACCTGTACATAGCAGACCCTCAGCAAGTGTTTGTTTCCTCCCCCTCTTCTCCGCACCCCTTCCCGCTCAGCACAAGTGAGGTGCTTTAGCCAGAGCAGGCGTGCAACAGAAATTTGTAGAATGCCAAAGACAGCTATTAGTAACTTCATTTGTGACTCCAGCGGACAACTGTCCTGCCTCTGCTCACAACACTTAAGGGTTTTATTTGGGGATCAAATTGAGTTTGGGTGTGTGTATGTGTGTGTGTGTGTGTGTGTGTGTGTGTGTGTGTGTGTATTTTTTTTTTAAAGTTGTTTCTTGGAATAGAAAGTATTGAGGATCCAGGTCTGGGAAGCACAGCTGATTTACCCTGGAACCTGGGTCCCCGGGGAAGGGCCTCTGTTGCGGGTACCTTGACACAGCGGATGCTGGTCCCACTCATGCTGCTGCTCCTGTCGATGAGGAAGATGAACTCCCCGTGGGTCTTTCTCAGGTTTGGCCGCACAGACTGGAGGTTAGGGCAGAAGTTGAGCATGATGACTGAATGGTGGGGAATGTCTTTGTGGAGGCGTTTCCGGATGATTTCTGTCTGGAGGGGAAGAGAAAACCCTCTGATTTGGGTGATCATGGGGTCCTGAGATCCCTCTGTGGACACACACTGGTCCCCCATTGCTCACCAAGTATCATCTAGATCTTACGTGTACTCTGCACCAAAGACCTGCAGACCAGCTGACCTGGGCCCCTCTGTCTGGGTCGTTCACAGGCTGCAGCAGTAAGCCTGGGCTTTGCAGGCAGTAAGACCTGGGCCTGAAATCTCAGCTCCGTCCCTGTCCAACTGTGTGAAGGTGAGAAACTCCCTCCTCTGATGTTTCTTCCTTTGTGAAATGGGGCAAACACATCTACTTTTCAGGGCGACTATGAGAACAGAGTTTATGAACATGAGTGGACCCCCTTAGTTGAATAATGGACTCTTCCACTTTTCGATCCAGTGCATAAACCACTCTTTGACCCATCATGGTAGTCAACTTAGTTTCCTTGATTCACTAATTTTTTTCCCGCTGATAAATTGTTACTTATCCTTCAAATTTTAGCTGTACGAGAACCCTTCCCAAATCTTGTGGGAGGTCCTACTCACTTACCTTCCTCATCTACGGAAAGTGTGCATCCTCACAGAACAAGAGCGCCTACCTCACAGAATGGGTTAAGTGCCCACTTGGGCAGCCTGCTGGCTGGCAGAGGCTTTGGATGCTGTTGTTTGCCTTGGAGCTCTGGCACATCTCATCATGAAAGCAGAGCCTTGCTTGCACCTCTTCCTCCCCTCTAGCTCCCATGCTACCTGAAGACAGGTTTCACCTTAGTCTCTTTGCAGTCACCTCACACTGGTCCCTTTCCCCACTTTTACCTCCCTGTGGTCCATTTTGTGTAGAGTAGCCAGGGCGGTCATCCTCCGCATTCTCTTGCATATGCAACAGCTCCCCTCACATTGTACACCGTGGTCGATGGGGCCCTCACTGGCCTGACACCTGCCCGCTGGTCCGTTTCATTTCTACCAACATAGCCTCCATTCTGTTTGCTACATAGCTCACCATTAACCTGCTCCGGTCCTCTGTATGTGTTGCACTCTCTCTGCCCGTCCTGCTCAAGGTGGGCTCTTCACCATCCGCCAGGTCTCATGCTCAGACACCCGCTACACACCTGGCACCTGTCTTTCATTATCGTATCATCAGGCTTTGTTCCTGCTGCACCTCTCCAAGCTGATCATGCTCATGTGTTTACCTTTTGTCTGTCTCCCTCTCCTAGAACACAAGCTCCAAGAAGGCCAGGAATGTGTCATTTTCAGGGTCGTCCCTCTGGTGTCTAGATCGGTGCCTTGGACACTTAGTGTCTCTTGATTGAGTGAGAGGATGAATCTGTGTGGATCACGTTGGTCTGCCGTGGATGCAGGTGTGCATATTTGGTGGCTTTTTTCCGTTCTCTTCTCTGTTTTCTGTCTCTGTCTCCTGCACATGGTGTATCCCTTTGTGTTATCTATTCTCTCTCTGCTAGATCACAGTCCCTGACAGCTTATCCTTCCCCTGTTTCCTGAGTGATCTTCATCCTCTGTTTGTCCACAACCTGGCTTCCCTCCTTCTTGTGGATGTCACCTTTTCTCCCACACGGAGCCCCTTTGTCAAAAGCCGCTGTCCGGCCTGCCTCTTTTGACGACAGAGCCCAAGGCAGCAACAACCACATCTGCCAGTGGAAGGAGTCGCCTCCGGGAACCGACTACTGCTGGGCAGAGGGACGAGTGGGTGCCACGACTCAGGATTCTCTGCTGTCTCCTCAAGCTGTCATTGTCCAATTACAATGAACTCATCACTTCTTAGCAGCTGCAGGTTGATCACTGTCAACCCCGGCACTCTTGAGAATACAGGGCATTTGCATAACCAAACCAAGGTGGCAAATTAATTCTCATTGGCTGCAGCAGCCCCAGGGTAGACAGCCAGCCTCAGAACTGCGAGACCCATTGTCCATCCCCACCCCCACCCCCGACTACTGCGTGCTGCGCTTTCTAGAGCTCAGTGGTACTCCTGAAATTGCCACCCCCACTCTGAGAACCTGGCTCCAGCTTTTCTCAACTGATTCATTTGCGTGAGCAGATGTTTGGGGGGACTCTAACAATGGGGACATTACAAGCAGTGAGCAGTCCACGCTTTCCTGGCCCCTTCCCTCCTTGCTAAGTGCCTATGCCAGCCAGGCCAGTAGGGAACCGGAAGGGCTAAGTCCAGCTAATCTGCCCCCCACATGGTTGAATCTGCTTCCTAGACCTCACTACCACCAAATCTAATTCCCTGAGACAGAAAACCTCCTCTTCCTCCAGCTCACTTGTTTTTGAGTGCTAAGCCTCAGTTATCTTTATGTCCACGATGGGGGGCCCATCATTTTTCACCTTGGCATTCAGGATGCTGCTCAGTGTGCAGGGCAGGAGGGGATAAGATGGAGAGGGGCCGCCATACCGCTGGGGTGGATGCAACTTGTGGCTCACCCTCCTGCCGCTCTCCCTGCCTCTCCTTCCCACCAGAGCTGCTTACCCTTAGCTTCATGGATGAGGTACAGAAAGGCAGTGAGAAAGGAGCTCTCTTAAGCTCCTTTACGCTTTTGCCTTTATGTAATAGCAAGAATGAGAAGATGGAGGCCCAGGAAGCAAAGAGAGAGCTGGGAGGGCACCCAGGGGTAGGGGAAGGGTTGCTTGGAGAAGGCCAGGGCTATTTCTGCCACTAGTTGCGCCTTTGTCTGATTTAGGCACCTGGGTGTGCTAGGAGAAGGGGACCTGGCTGCAGGCAGAGGATTGACAGGTTAACTGCTGCTTTTAGTTTTTTTCCCCAGTGCCGGGAATTGAACAGGGCCTTCTCATTGAGCTACATCCCCAGCCCTTTTTATTTGTATTTTTTTTGTTTTGAGTGTCCTCCTCTAAGTTTCTATAGTGCTCAGGTTGGGCTCAGACTTTCTACCCTTCTGTCTCAGCCTCCTAGACTGCTGGGATTACAGGCTGACAGTTGCATCTGGAAGTGCATTTCCACCCGCCCTGCAGGGCCCTGGTCCTGGGAAGGAAACGCTTCTTGTCCAAAATCTGCCCCCAGCTTGCTGTGTGACCTCAGTCCCCACGGCAGACTCAGTGCTCGGATGCTCCAAGCTTCCAGCGCCGCCCCAGCTCCACCGCAGTGGCTCACCTTCCTTTCCACACTGCTGTCCTTCTTTGTGCCTTTAATGAAGTCTGTTCTCCTCTTCAAGTATTGGTCAAACTCTGCCAGGGTCATGTCCCCTTCCTCCACCAGGACATGTGGCATGTGAGGCTCTGCCAGACGAGACCAACTTTTAGCACTTGTCCAGGTTGTGAGGGGGATCCCAGGGGTTTAGGGGTAAGGTCTTCACGGGGGCAGGGTTCTAGTTGGAAAGGGGCTGCCAGAAGCGGTATGGGGCAGGAGGAAGACCCCTTAGCCAGGAAAACCTAAGGCCCATGAATGACCCACTCACTGCCCTGTCCGAGCCTCAGTTTACCCATGTGTAAAGCGGAACTGAAACCAGGCCAAAGAGCTCTTGGGTCTTTTTAGCTCCTGACAGTCTCTGAATTCTTGAGAAGACAAGAGTTTCTCCTTGAAGACACAGAGCTGCCAGGTCTCTCTGAGCTTAGAGTTTCCAAGAACCTCTGGTCAGCTCAGCAGGGGCAAGTGGCCCAGTATGCAGTTGAGACCCTGGGCATCTGGAGCTGGAATCAGATTAAGGGACACTTGATCTAAGCAGGTATAGCTGTGGTTCCCAGGTGGCAAGTGGTTAGTCTCCTCCTGTCTGCCCGGCACTACCTGACCCTTGCTCTGGCCAGGGCCCTCCCTCGGTGTGGGGCGCCATACCGCTGGGGTGGATGAGGATCTCCACGGGCCTGTCGAAGGTGTGCTTGTTGGCCAAGGTGATGATGATGCTTTTGGCTGAGCGTGCAGATGGGGCAGCGTCTGCGCGGATTTCATGTGTGGGACTCTCTACCCCTGAGCGACACAGAAAGGCAGGGAGTGGGCTGGAGTCTCAGGAGCCCCAGGAGAGGGAGGAGGGTACGAAGGCCCACACTAAAGGTGACTGACACGACTGACACGCCAGCCCCATCAGAGGTTCCTGGGGTGCTATGTGGCCATGGGCTGGACTCCACGACGTCCGCACCTGCACACCTTGGGCTTAGATCACTGGTGTCTAATGGCTCTTCCTGCCCTGACTGCAGGGTCCGACTGCAGGAACTGCCTCCTTTCAGGGCACATAAAGCACCCAGCATGTGACCAAGCAGACAGAGCTCAATGCTCCATGGGCGGTTGCTTTTTGGTGTTCCGTGAGTGTGTCATGCGCTGGAATGGATGCATGCTGGTAAGAAGCCACGTCCTAGAGTCCTTTAAAACCTGGGATGGGTTGGGGGGACAGAGGCATCAGTGTGAGGGTTCTCAGCCCTGGCTGTGTCAGAATCACCTGAGGAGTTTTTAAATGTTTGGGCCTAGCGCACAGCCCCAAAATCTCTGGGGTGGTGGCGATGCTGCAGTGTTAGAAAGCTCCTCAGGGGAGAACCAGGGCGGATATTTATGGCATCGGCCACTAGGAGAGGTCGCAGAGTCACGATTTCCTGAGGGATATTTCCTGGTAAAAAGCGCTGGAGTACGGTGGCCTTGACAGTTGTGCCAGGAAGGGGCTCAGTCATGGGCTGCTTGTAGGAGCGTCAGTGGGGGCTCCTACAGCTCTGCTGCTTCCGCTTGTCTGGGCCAGTGGGCTCCCTTGCCCTCCCTTGCCTCCCCCTCCTGCAGCCCTCTCCACTCTGGGGCTCCTTCCCCACCACCTCCCAATCTGGGCAGCTCCCCGTCACCTGCAAGAAGACATGGCCCACGGATCTCCAGCTGGAAGTCGAAGTCGTATTCCATGGGGTTGGACACCTCGGTGTCCAGCAGAGTCGCCAGGCACAGCTTGTTCCAGGAGTCTGGGGCTTGGGTGCCGTAGCAGTGGGAGTCTTTGCTGGGAAGGTGCCACAGAGAGGAGGAGGAGGAGGAGGAGGAGGAGGAGGAGGAGGAGGAGGAGGAGGCAGTGGGCACAGATGAGGGGCCATCAGGGGAGAGGGGACATGGGGGAGGGCAGTGAGACTCAGGTGCCAGCCATCGAGGGCCTGGGGGGCTCCGTTCCACCCCCAGACCTTGCTGCCCCACTCAGCCTGAGCCCAGGAGGGCCTGCGTGCCAAGAGAAGCCCCGGCTACCTCTGAGGAGCACCATGAGGGGCCAAGTTCAGGTGCGGTGCTCCTGTGCATCTACCCTCACCCTTCTCACCACAGCCCCACCCAGCCCACATCCGGGTGTCTGGGCCAGGTGAGGCAGCTGACGTCCTGGCCTTGGTGGGCACCACACCACCTCACGTGACTTCTCGAATCCTTCCTGCGACTGAGGGCTGGGAACCCTTGGACAAATCACTCCTCTAAGTGTTGGCTTTTACAGCCATTCAGCAGGAGCAGCACTTACAGCACAGGGTCTGTCTCCTGCGGAACCGCTCACACTTCTGGGCCCTCACTTTGTTACCCTCTGTCTGTCACTGACCCCGCTCCGTTCCCCTTCTGTTCATAAGCACAGGCGTCCAGTGTTTGCTGTGTGTTTTCAGTTGTGCACTTATCCTGGTAAAATCCATGGCGGTCTCTGGGGGCTGTGTTTTAAGGGGACGAGAACATGCTATTATGACTCGTGTTTACTCTCTTACATGTTTTTACTCAATTTTTTTCCTCAGTACTGGGTATTGAACCCCAGGAGCCTTTGCACTGAACTACATCTCCAGCCCTTTTTAGGTTTGAGTTTGAGACAGTGTCTCATAAAGTTTCCAAGTTGCCCAGGGCAACTCCATGGGCAGTGAGCTCGTGTCTCCTCCCCTCCATGGCCCCACTAATGCTTGGTATCGTGTGGCTTTCTTATTTTTTCTGAGGTCAGTCTTTCCTGAGAGTTTTGCTGGAATGGGTGGGAGTGAGTTTATCAGGCCTGCTGTGGGCTGCTGGGGCCTCCTGTGGCTCTTTCTTGTGACCCACTCAGGTCCTGCCTTTCAGATCCACAGGCCGGCAGGCACTGGCAATGCTCACGAAGACGACACACGAGGGCTGGTGCTCCCTAGTCAGGCCTGCATGTGCCACCCACTTCTCTGCGCCAGGTGTCTTCATCCTGGCCTCTAAGGCCTTGCCATGTCCTCTCTCTTTCCCCCCCCCCCACGTCACCGGGAGAGTACAGAGGAACTGTCTTGCTAGTAGGCTTTTCATGCTCCCCTCTTGCGCTGCTGGAAACCCTTTTAATGGCTCCTTGGGCCATTGTGAATTGGCTGCTTTGGGGCGAGATACAAAGTCCTGGCAGGGCCAAAGGTGTCCCAGGCCTTGGAGCACCATTGACGCCACCTGTCAGAGGCCCTGCCCTTGCTCGGTCAGGGCCTTCGTCCCTGCTGCGGTCCTATGCAGGAATGCACCTCTCTGTGCCTACCTCCTCCTCATTTTCAGTCGTCAGCAAAGGCTGGCCTGGTCTTTAGACACCCTTCTTTTATATCCTCAGACAGAAGAACTTTTTCCTTAATGCGCTTTTTATATAATTAATTATATATTCATGTATGTAACAATTAGTTTCATGCGTAAATGCGTAATGGACAATGTTTCCTTCCTCCAAGTTCCGAAACGGCACAAACCATGTTGGTCATGAAAAGTGTCTAGCACACAGTAGGTGCTCCGAAAATACCTCCTAAGTGAATTTACAAAGAAGCCCTGGCAATTCTGATCCTCACCTGACCAAACCCTAGCTCTTCTGCCGATACCGATGTGGGGGCATTTTAAAGTGCTCCGAAGAAGGGGAGCACATTACTCCGAAGGGGGCAGCTCTCAGGCACAGCCCCACCCACCCCTGCTGCCCCGGCCGTGCCCTGGCCTTGCCGGGGCCTCCTTACCCCTGAGCCTGCGGGTCGGAGGGGCCAGTGCTCTTGGTGCAGAATCGAGGCACCGTCGGGGCGCAGATGGCAGGAAGGAGGACCCTCACCGCCCCACTGGGCAGTGTCTGGAGCTCCGACGAGGTGCTGATGAAGATGGTGACATTCTCCATGGGGGTGATGGTCCCCAAGTTGACCACGAACAGGACCCGCTCCAAGTCCTCATCCAAGGCCACCTTTCCCGGTGCGCAGGAATGAGGGGTAGTGGAAACCCCCTCTTGCAGAATGTTCCCTAAGTGCCAGGCTGGTGTCAGGGGCTGTACATGCATCGTCTCTGATGCCCTCAAAGCTTGCTGTGGGGGAGGTTTGAGTGGCCCCATTTTGCTGATGGCAAAACTGAGGCCTGGAAGGGAGGCGTGACTTACCTAAGCTACCCAATCAATAACTAACACATTGACCAGGATCTGAATCCACGTGGGCCCGACTCCAGCCCTGTGTACCTTCCACTGTACCTTGCTGGGAGGGGGAACTTGGACCCATAACCCCTCCCATCTCGACAGAGGCTCACATCTCTTTTCCACAGCCCCTGCTCCCCACCCCAGACCCAGCTGAAGCATCCCTACCTCTGGGATCCTTGATTTTGACCCTGGTCTTTCCTCCTAGCTGAAGGACTAATTCCTTTATCTCAGCTTAGCCGCTCCTACCCATCTGTCAACCCCTGCAGGAAACCTTCCCTGGTCTCCAGTCTGTTCCTCTCTTTCCCCGCTAATGTTATCAAGACCTTTCTTTTCAACCTCTCGCCTTGGTCACTCCTAAGCATGTCCCACCTGTCCTTCCAGGCCACCAGAAATCAAAACTGGAGGGGAACGTCGCACCTGACACGAAGTGAATGTGCATTAAAAGATTCTTGAACATCTTAATGATTAGGTGAACAAAACCTCACTGTGATCTTAGAGCCGATGGTCAGAATCTCTTATGTTGTGTGATGCTTGGTCCGAGTCCAAGCCCTAGCTCTGCCACTAGCATCCTGTGTGACCCTGAGCTAGTCATTGTCTCTCCCTGGGCCTCAGTTTCCTCCATAGCAGGACTCAGTAGCCATGCTTTGGGTGCTTACTATGCTGAGCACTCTGCAGGCTCCGCCTGGGTTGAGCACAGGGTGTGTATAATCATTCCCTTCATAGATGAGGTTAATTTCTTATCTAAGCTCACACCACTTGCACACAACAAGCTAAGGGAGGGGATCCTGGGGTGACTCATTCCACAGCCTCTGAGCCTGAATGACTTGCTATTCCGTTCTCTTGAGATGCCTTAAAAACCCTTTTGTTGCCTGCCCTCCTTTGATCCTCACCACACTTTAGAGGTGAAAACAGAAACAGTGATCTGTTTTACAGATAAGGAAGCCCAGGTTCAGAGAAGTTCGTGACTGGCCTGGGGTCACACAGAATCCCATTTTAAGTCTGGTACAGTGCTGTCTCTAGCCCATCCCACTGCTGTCCTTGCCATCCACACAAGGCTCCAGCCCCTGTTAGGACCCTTCTGGTCTCCCTACCTGTGAGAGTCGAAGATGGGGTACAGGATGCATCCAGGTGGCTGCTGTCTAGCTTGGCTTTGTCCTTGATCTGTACCTTCACAATGCGGCCGGCGATGACTGCCTCAAAGCCAATCACCGTGGTGTACTCATCCAGTGGATACACGAAGAGGCCTGTGGGAGGGGGTCCAGCATTGCAGGGTGCCCAGCCCTGGCCCGCACACCCTACTCCTGGAAAAGAACCCGAGCCCTTGACCTGCATGATGGATGGGACTCAGCCCTTAGAGAACATAAACTATGGTCCAAATCCAGGGCCTGTCCAGTATCCCAGCCGCATGACCTTGGCCAAGACATAGCTTCTCTAAACCTCAGCCCCATCTGTGAGATGGGCTGTCACGAGAATCTAAATAGCAACAGTGACAAAACAATAGCCACCATGTTTTAAGCTATCTGTCCCATACGGCGTGTGTGCCATACTTTTTATATCTCGGGGCTTCTCAAAATGTAAGTGCATATTTATCACCGGGGGATCTTGCTAAAAAGCAGATTCAGAGCTTGCTGGGTTCCTGGTAAGCCCTCCACAGACCTCGACTTCTTGTCTCTGAGTCTCAGGCTCCTCATCTATAAAATGGGAGGGAGCCCTTGCTCCTCCTGTGTTGGAAGACAGAGCTGTGTTGAAGTTGTCCAGGCCTTGTGAGTCTCCTCCTCTAGATTCCCTCACTCAGAGGAATGGGCCACCTGCTCTGCCCAGATCTCTGAGGGGAAGAAAGTCTCTCTGAAGGTTCCCTTCAGACAGGATCGGCCCCCAGGGCAGTCCTCAATGGGGTGGGGGATTGGAGGGTGTTTAGTGGTCCGAAGACCCCATCACTGTGAAGGAGAAGGGAATCCTAGCCGCAGTCAGCCGTCTTTGGCCAGCCTTCTGTCATGCCCTTCTTCAGGGAATGAGAAGCCGCTGATTTACAAAGGATCCTGGCCGGCCATCTGCTGTTCACACCCTGATGGCCCCACACTGACGATTTATATTCACAGGCAGTCATTTGGTCCCTGCTGCCCTTCCTCCAGCATTATCTCATCCTCCGTTCCCGCATCCCCTGGCATCTGGACAGGCTGAGCATCCTGACTTCAGGGGGACCAGGGCTCCCCAAGGACACAGGAGCTAGAGCTTGAGGCTAGGTCTCCTGGCTTTGGCTGAGTCCTGACTCCTCTCCCGTGGGGAAGCTTCCTGGTGAGAGGGCAGCACTGACCGTCTGGCTGGGTGAACATACCTCGTGTCCCAAGTGCTGGGACAGCTGGTTGGGGCTGGGGCTGAGCTGCAGGCTCAAATTCTGAGCCTCCTATTGGCTGTGAGTCCTGCAGGGCAGAGATGGGATTCTTGTCTTACAGGTAAGGAAACTGGGACTCAGAGGTCCTGGGACTTGCCCAGTCCCAGTCATCTAGTAGGTATTGGGATGGGTCTGTGTGCTGCAGCTCAGCCTGGGGGAAGCCCCAGTGGGGGTTCTTACCCTGGAAGGGCTGAGCCTCCAGATTGCCATAGGTGAGGGAGGCAGTCAGGCCCAGGGCGTACCCACTGACAAAGGAGGTGACATCCGATGCGGTGAGGGGCAGGGCCGCCCCTGTGATTCGGTTCAACAGGCCAGGCATCCCACTGGCTGCTCAGCCTTCAGGGCCTGCAGGAGACAGGGCAGGCAGGTGGTGGGGAGAGGTCCTTCACTCCTCTCTAACACAGTTGTCCCAGCACCGGTCTCTCCATTTCCCCGAAGGACCTCCCAGTTAGTGAACCCAAGATCACTACCAGTATTTCCTGAGAGAAGTTGCCATTCTGTCTTTCCATTTCACACACAGAGAGAGAAACCGAGGCCTGCTGGAATTCACTCACAGGGATAGAGCCGAAGTAGCTTCCTGGCCAACCAGGACATCTTCCCGCAGTCTGTGCTAGGATGGGCTCCTGCCTCACCCCTTTGCGAGTCCCACGATACCTAACCCTCAGCTTTTCTTCTGCCAAGCCAGAGCCCTGGCGCGGCTCACCCGGGAGCCTTCACTGGGTATTGTAGGCACATCAGAGTGCGGGCAGCCCTACCCTCCAGGTGCACCCTTCCTGCCACTCTCAGCACTCCCCGTACCCTACCCTTCCCCTGGGCTTGTGACCGCGCTCTGAAGCGGCTCCTGCATCCATCCCCATTTGTCCTTTTCTGACCTCCGTCTCCACCTGGACCTCGGCTCCTTTTGATCTCTTGGATCTGCTTTTCCAAGCTGAGGTTTCTTTCCCACCCAGTGACCAGAAGGGATATTCCAAAACAGAGTGGACGCATCTCTGCCACCCCTCACCCCTGGCGGCTTCCCACTGGTTTTTGGACACAGACTAAAGCCCTCAAGTGGCCTTGTGTGGTCACCCTTTGTTGTACCCACAGCATCATCACTGCAATCACTCTTGGAAGCTTCCCTTCCTCAGTGCATCCTGCTCTCTACACCCCTGGGCTTGTGAGTCTACCTGGAAGACTCGTCTCGCACCTGCTTTTTTCCCCCCATAAGTTTATTGGAGCAGTTTAGGTACACAACACAGTTACATTCATCACTGGGATCTTGTAACTTTACATGACTTACCTTGGTTCTTATTTTTTCCTGCTTCCCCTGCCCTCTCTTCACCTCCCACACCCTTCCCCTTTCACACCTGCTTTTTATCCATTACACTCCCCTCATCCTTCAGTGTCAACCTGGGCTCCCTCTGCAGGGGTGCCGGGCCACTTGTGCCCAGTGTCCTCAGACACCCGGCTGCTAGAGCTGAGTTTCTGTCCTGAATGTACTGCCTGCTTTTGGGAGGTGGGGAAGTGGAAGAAACAAAGTCACACAAAGGGTGTGGAACACAAATTCAAGATCAAGTTCTTCCTGGGTTTTCTGCTCTGATACAGGAGCCAGGCCAAGCGTCCAAGGACTGGCAGCCTCGTGCCAACCATCTGCAAGTCTGCCCAATGTGTATTAATTACTCTGCCCTTTCTCAAAGAAAGAAACTCCTTGGGCAGGGGATTTAACTCAGTGGTTCCGGTGCTTGCCTTGCAAGTGCAAGGACCTGAGTTCGATCCCTGGTGCCAAAACAAAACAAAACAAAAACCAAAAAATAAAAAAACCTAAGAAAGAAACTCCTTGCTTCTAGGCCCTCTTCGTGTCCCTGCTAAGATCCCCGCGTGCTCCTCTGCCTCCCACCAGGCCAGCAGCATCTTTTTAATTATGTGCTCCCTTGTGGCTGGGGCCCAGACAGTTCTCAGCCGCCTTATCTCCTCCCAGACTGACTGATAACTGGAAGCAGATAGAGAATCAGGAGGGAGCTGCTGGATCCTCAGTGTCTTCTCTCAGGAGACTCTGGTCCTGGTGGCCAAAGCAAAGCCTGCGTGCTCCAAGGCACAGAACAAGATGTCGGAGTTCATTTCCTGAGCGCATCGTATCTTCCGCTACCCACCTTCCTGCCCTCTTCCTTCTCACACTGACTCACTTCTGTCTAGCATACCAATTGGGAAATGTAGCTCCAAGGAACCATAAGGAAAATGTACACTGTCACGTTGTCTCATCTTGCCCTTATAAAGCCTTATAAGGTGTTCTGCCGATGAGGACACCGAAGCTTCAAATGGTGGATTTGGTTCTGGATGCAAGATTGGGGCATCTGAAGGGCACATGAGTTCAGCTGGGGCTGTATAGGTCTTTCCCTAGGAGGAGACCAAGGCCATCCTCGTGGGAGGCAGAGAGCAATTATGCTGACAGTAGCCCCCAACCCCAGGTTCTTCCCAACCTGGGTCCTCAAGTGGGCATCAGGCCACAAGAAACAGCCAGGGGCAGAGATAAAGCCACCAGTGTCTCTCTGGGTCGATGGGAGAGACCATGGCCTGGCTCTAGGGATGGTGCCTTGTGTGAGTGGGTGACTTACTGTGTCAGGAGCATCCTGTATGTGTTTGTCTTCCTTACTCCCTTCCTCACCCCTTCCCTGGCCTCCACACGACCTGTCTGCCAAAATGTCTGGGCTTTGAGGATGCGGAATCTGGAAAGTGACTGGAGAGGTGAGCGGAAACAAGAAGGGGCTTAAATGGGGCTGGGGCTGGGGCTGGGGTGGGAGGAGAAGGAGGGGCTTACAGACTGGAAAGGGACTGAAGCGGGGTGTCCACTACAGAAATCAGTGTGGAGATCCCTCAAAAAACAAAAACCAGAAACTCCACCCGACCCAGCTCTACCTCATCTGGATACCTTCCTGAAAGATTTAGGGTCATCACAGCACAATTCATAATAGCTAAATTATGGAAGGGGTCTATGTGGCCATCGATGTATGAATGGGTAAAGAGAAAGGAGCCTAGATACACAATATGAGAAATCCAAAATATAAGTAATGTAGAGAGCCAAATCAGAGAGAAGTGGCAGCAAACAGGAAGACAGACTCTGTAGAGATGGGAAGGGGATTTGGGGAAGGAAGGAGCGGGGAGGCTGGGGAGAAATGAGTACAACCGATCAAGATACGATATTCTCCAGCATGAAGGTGGCTATGATGTATCACACACACATATAAGAAAATGTTTAAAAGAAGAAATATGAAAAAGAAGTGGGTATCCTAAGTTGTAAACCGGGTCCCATTTCATATTCTCCCAGAGGCTCATAGGAAGATCCAGATGACTCGGGCCCCGGGTTGTGTCTCTTTGGTGAACTGTTGGGCTGAATGTGAACACTGAAATCCTCTCTGCACAGCTCACCCGAGGTCCCCAGCATGTCTGCTAAGCGCCAAGACTGTCTCCCGATGGCCCAGAAGTCTTGATTCTCAAAGGATTGCTGCCTTTCTGGACAGAGCATTGTTTGTATTTATGCCTGGCTTGGTAAATATTTGTTAAAGCGAAGTGAAAGGAATGATGTCAACCACCCCCAAGGACACTGAAGGACACTTGGTGCTTGAGACGCAGTGGGAACAAGGCAAGTGTGAGTAGGGAAACTGGCGGAAGAGACAGACAGTAAAGGAAATCACAGGCTCAGAATCAGACCCTTTCTAGTCACCTTCAGCATGGCCACCCCATGTCTCCCTCCAGCAACAACGGAGCAGCCAGAGCAATCCTGAGACAAAGATCCAGGGGTGTGGCCCTGTGGCTCAAATCCCCGGAATCTCCCATGTCCCTGGACTCCAGGAGGAAGGAGGGGCTCACAGAGCCCCTGGCTTCTTCCTGACCTCTCCTGGACGTCTTAGCCTTAGAGCTTCGCCTTGGGTGTTTTGCACCGGCTCTTCTAGATACCACACCTTGCTTTCCACGCACACCTGGCACCTGGCCCATGGCTCTCTCTGCTCCCAGGCCCTTCTATCATCAGGCTGCTGTTGGCATCTATGAGGCAGAGCATCAGCTCCCTGACACCCTGCATAGCGGTTCTTTTGCTTCTTTCTAGCCCTTCTGCTCTTATGCCTTGAACTTCAGATCTTGTTGACGACTGGTCTACCTCTGAAACTCTAGAGTCACCACTCTCCCACCATTTTATTTCTTAGCTCTTATCATCACTATTTTGCATAATGTCTATTTTGTGTATTCACCTTGTTTGATGTATCTCCCCACCCTCTAGAGCATGACTCCTTGAGGGCAGGGATTTTGTTCCGGTTTATTACTTCCGGGTCTGAGGGCAGGGATTTTGTTCCGGTTTATTACTTCCGGGTCTGCTACCCACAGAACAGTGGCAGGCAGCATGCAGACGCTCAGTAGGTATTTGCTGAAGGGACGAAATCCCACTTCAACTGCTTCCCCTGTCCAATTTTGCAACATCTCTTAGAGGTAAGGACTCCTGATTATTTATTTGTTTATTTATTTATAGACAAGGTCTTGCCCAGGCTGGCCTTAAACTTACCATGTAGCTCAAGCTGGCCTCAAACGTGTGCTCCTCCCGCCTTAACCCTGAGCCCGCCAAGTGCTGGGATTCACAACGATCCTTCTTCTACAAATGAACCCACCAGGCCCCAAAGAGAGGAAGGAATTTTCCCACAGCCACATAGGAAGTCAGTGATGGGGTTGGGAGTTGAACACAATTAGAAGGACCCTAGAGCCCATGTGCTTGCTTGTGAGGCTGTGCTCCATCCTGTGTTGAGACTTCCCAGGCCTCAGTGTGTGTCTGGAAATCCTCCCTTCTCATCATATCACTGCTCTTGCCTGGACCATTTCTACTCTCTCCTCACTGGTCTTCAAGCCTCCAAGCTGCTTTCCTTCTGGTCCTCCCTGTCATCACCCACACACATGTACCCGATCCTGTGTGTGCACACATACTCTATACACATATTCTCCCTGACCTTAATGGCTTCTGTTGCTTTTGTCCCTGGCATGGCTTCTGAGGTTCTTCCCATTGGATCTCTGTCTCTGTGTGTGTCACTTCTTGCCTTGTTCTCCAAGTTCCCTTTCCTGCAGACCTTCTGACCTTTTCATCATGCCCCGAACAGATGTCCTGCCTGCTATTTCAGGCTAATCATTGTTCCTTTCTCTGCCTTTCAAAGTCCTACCCATTATTCAAGGTCCACTTCTCCCGTCACCTCCTCCATGAACTCTTCCTTGATATCCCTGTCTATCAGATGTTACTTCTTCCAGAGTTCCTCAGCCCATAGGCCCTCGTCTGTCATCACATCCTGCACATTGAGGCACAGGGGCCACCTATGTTACGGGTCCCCCTGTGGGGC